GCATTAGATGTGAGACTTTATTTACTAATTGATAGTATTGTCATTACATCAAACATCTTTACAGACTAAACTATTGCTATTCTAGAATGTAAATTAATACTACCTAGTATTTACCGTTTCCAGTAGTATAAGTATCAAGTAATTATAAATACTTATTTAGAATTATATGTAATAAGAGTTAAAAAAATAAAAAAATATAAATATACTAAATAAAAAATAATAATAATAAATTAATTATAATGTAAAAAATATCTCATAAGCATACTACTTTAATAATTTGACTTTTTTAAAATAGTTAGACTATAGTCCAAAATATATAATTATATTAATTATATATCTTTTTGATAATTAATTAAATACAATAACTAATAACTAATAAGAATAATAATATTATTATTATTTAAATTTAAATATTTTGTAATAATTCATATATACATATATATATATATATATTTTCCAATAAACAAACATTATTTTTTTATTTATTGATATTATACTTAAAATTATATATACTTGTGAAAAAAACAACATCTCTTGAATGCAAAAAGTATACAACAAGTTAAATGCTAGCTTGACTATATATTTATATCTAGCTAATATTGAAAAAAATTTAAAACAATATTATATATGCTAAACTAATTATAGTTTTTTGATAAAAATTTTTTTAATAAAATTTTTTAATTTTTTATACTATAACAAAATATATTGAATAATAATAAAAGATAAGTATTATATATATTTATAATATTTTAAATCAACAACTTAAATACTGTAGTGATGAACTGCAAACAATAAACTTAAATTCTCTTAGGAATAAAGAAGATGAGCAAGCGACTTTATTCATCTTCAAGATTATACTTAGAAATTGATAATCAGGAATAGGTATTCAATTATTAGCTTAGTTTATGTATAAATAAATATACTAATTGGTTTTATTTTTAGATATATATAATAAATTTTTATTGTTTTATATTCTATTGATCTTATTAAAAAATATTTTTTATATTAAAATTTAATATTATATAATTTGAAATATTATTAAAAATAAAATTTCAAAAGTATATTAGTTTCTTTAAATTTTATTTAAATTATTTTTTTTGATAAAATTTTTTAAATAACAATTTATTATCTGTATCTATAAATTGTTTGATAGTATTTGTCAAAATTCTATTTTTTTATACTTAAATAAGTTTTTAATCTGTTGGTTTAAATGATTCTATAATATAATATAATATAAATAAACAAATAAAAAAATAAATAAGTAAATAAATTATTTTCATTTTTTTTATATTTATTATATAATTTCAAATGAATTTTTTTATTTATATAAAGTTTATAAACAAATGATATTACAAAATTTCAAAGTTTATAAATAAAGTATATTATAAATAAGATATATTATTAATAAAAATATATTTTGAATAAATCACTAACTAATCTATTAACAATAAAATTTATAATAATATCCAGTATGAATTTGATATGTTAATAACTCAACTACAAATAGTTGAATTTTAATTAGATTCTATTTATCAGATATTACAGTTATTAGATACTTTATATTCAATAATTACATATTATAATTATTTTAAAAATTAATAAAATTTTTTGAAAAATTAATTATAAATAAACAAAAGCAAAATTAATTTATAAATATTGTACATAATTATAATCGATAATAAAAAGAAGTTTGATAAATTTTACACAATTAATTTTTTTTAAAGTTAAAACTTATTTATTTTATTCTTGTATGATCATCTTTTTCAGTTATGTGAATCAAATAATTTTGATTGCATATTATAGGTTTTTATAAACTTGAATACCCGAGTTCATATTCTTTAATTTTTTTTGTAAGGTTTTGAAAATTGTTTAAAAATTTGAAGGTTTTTAATTTTAAATAATTTTTTCATTGTGTTTACCTACCAATTTTTAGATCTTTAAAGTTAAGTGACTTTATCTTTAACTATCAGAATGCAGGATTCGAATTATTTAGGGCAATAATAATTTAATAAGTATTGGCAAATCAATATGTTTTTTTAAATTCATTTTATAAAGAACATAACACTTGTATGTTGATCCTTAATTAATTGTAATCTAATCAATGTATATATCAGAATAGTGATTAAATAAAAAAAAACAAAATTTAATAAAATATAATGTTGCATTACTTTGAATTTTTTTTTTTCAAAATATAAAAAGACAAAATTTTGCCCAAACTTAGAATGTCTTCAGACCAACTATTCATAGAACAGAAAGTAAAAGTTATTAATTTGAATGAAGAAGGATATTGTTTGAGACAGGTAACCATTAAAATTGGAAATAATATCCAAAATAAACTTTTGTACACAAGTTTTGCATTCTTTTGGAAGCCGATGTAATTGAAGTTTTAATAATAGCAACAATGTAAATTTATCAAATTCATTCCGCATTTACATAGATAAGTCTTGCATCTAATTATAATAATTACTTCGACATATTCGTACTCTTCTGTATGTTTTCCTAGAACGTTTTCGTTTTCTCGTCGGATAAGCAATTCGATGGAAGACACGCGAGACTTCGTAATTATGAGGAACGCATATGCCTTTTTCATAGAACCATGCAATATTTCTTGCTGAATCTTCATCCTTAATAGCTGCTTTTGAAAACCACAAGAATGCGTTTAAATAATCATATTTGGAGAGATATAGTTTTCCTAATATTTTCTGCGACAGTGTGTTTCCTCCTTCGGCTGCTAATCTAATCCAAAATAAGGCACGTTCGTGATCGTTACCATACTTTAGTTGAAGTTGTTCGCCGAGAAGGAATTGTGCCGAAGGATTACCAGTTCGAGCTACCTTTTCCAAAGATTCAATACACTCTTCATCGTTTTTTTCAACGGAAAGTATCATATTTGCATCCGGATCTGCAGATTGGGCTGCCTTCTCGATAAGTTCTTTGGCCTTACCAGAATCCTGTTCTACTCCTAAACCATCACCGTAGGCAAATGCTAATTTAACTAACGCAAACGTAAAACCAGCATCGGCTAATTTCTGAAACCAAAAAACAGACTTTTCGTAATCCTTCTCAAAAAGTTCACCGCTATCGTAACTTTCTGCAACCGTTCTCATTGCATAAATATCTCCTTGTTCTGCCACGTTAAGAACTAACGATTTGTATTCCTCGAAAAGCTTTTGACGTTGTTCTCCCGTAGATTTTTGTGCACGTTTGCCTAACAAAATTCCTAGGTTCCATTTTGAACGTGAGAGTGGAGATTTTGTATACCATTTCTGAGCTTCTTCTGGGTTTTTCCCCTCCTCAAAGCCCAAACCTAATTCATAGCAAAGTCCAATATTATGATGAGATTTTGGTTCTCCAAGATCAGCAGCTTCGAGCCAACATTCTAATGCTTTTTTAGTGTCTTGGTCTTGATAAACACCTTTATAATACATGAGACCGTGATAAAAGTGTTTTTGTGGAAGGTTCGAAAATTCTTTACTATTAAGAATTTTCCAAGCCGAATTTCCGCGCCTTGCCTGGAACTCGATTCGGAATTGCTCAATTATTTCCTTATAAACCTGCGAATTATCATTGTAGGGTTCGGGAATAATATCTTCTGGTTCGAATTCTAATATGAAATGACCGCGAAAATCAACTGGTATTCCTAGACATAACATTTTATTATCTTCTCCGCGATAGCCTAGTTCATCCTTAAGCAGTAGCGGACAAATAGTTGTCACAACTTGATGCGCTGGGGGTCTTTTCTGAGGATCACGATGTAATAGCTGTTGTACTCCTATATTGAATGGCTCCTGAACCACATCTGGAGAAAGTTGTGTGTTTCGTTCAGTGATTATTGAGGTTAGAGTAGTCTCCTCTTGAATATTACTCAGACCTTCATGGAATATAGCACAAAAAATTAACCCAAGGCTATAAATATCGGCTTTTTCATGTGAATAAGGAGTTGTGCCATAATCCTCCAGAGCTTCAGGGGCGGCCCAGAATTCGGTGCCACAAAATCTATCGTTTAATTTTCCATCAAAGTCGCTCGATCCAAAATCACATAATTTTGCCCTCGTTCCAGCGTCAAGCAAAATGTTTACAGGTTTCAAATCGTTGTGCCAAATACCAAGTTCATGGAGGTTGGACAATCCTGATGCGATATCGTAACAAAGTCGTATAGTTAATGCCCACGTTGGTTGATATGTAACATTTAGAAGTAGGTCTCTGAGGGTTCCGTTTTCTGCATAATCCATCAAGATGTACATATTGTTGTTTTCTCCGTCGGGCACAAGACATTCACCCCGATAACGAATAAGATGATAATATTTGTCTCCAAACTTCTTCATGATTTCAATCTCCTTTGATACTTGTGTCCAATCAGATGCCTTGACTATCTTGACAGCAACATATTCCGAACGATATACAGCTTTGTAAACGTTACCGAAGGTACCTTTTCCGATATGTTTTTCAAGCACAATTTCTTCAACATTAACGATATGTTCATCGTCAACATTGTCGTCTCTCGTAGTTTGAGATGGTATGTTTGAAAGGTTCATTCGTGATGCAAGGATGTAGTACACAATTCTCGACGATGCATGGTTGACCGAACCAATAAAAAGGGTCAGACAATACAACAAGCCAATCATTTGAGATGGTCAAAGTCGCAATTGCATACTTTGATATTCTGGGTATTATCGATTCGGTTCTTCATTCTATTGACCGTGTCAAAATGTGCCAGAAAAAATTGTCGAGGTTCAAATGAAATTTGTTATTTCAAAAGTAACGAAAAACTTGAGGAATACTTGATGACTAACGAACTAGAAGAGCAGTACAAGAAGGTCTGATGGTTCACATCAATGTCTTAAATCAAACCGTGACAAAATGCAAATATTATGTTAGGCGCAGCCAACGCAATATTGTGAGAGGCATGTGATATGCGAGCATAAGAACAAAATTATCCAATGAAATTCAAAGACTGAATGATTGGAATACAGTATTCTTGTCGAGACTTGGTGTCGTCCTTGGTCGCCCTTGATGTGTCGACTTTGAAAACCACCTTAAACCAATGTGAAAATTTTTCTAAACATCTTTACGCACCTATGAGAATTGTAACGAAGGCAATCTTAATCAGGGATCAAAGAATATTCCATGCGATGACAGTGAATAACCAATTAAGAGGATATGGACAATGAAGTGATGATCGAAAAAAAAACAATATGAAAGAAATTTCGGGAGCAAAACAAGCATGACAACGAACGAACCTTCGTCGGCTTGCCTTGCTCCCGAAAAAGTATATGCAATGCCATTACATCGTGGAATTTATCGGAATCGCCGAGATTGATTCTGACCATGTTTTAATGATAAGTGATGGTTCTGTTAAAACAACGTTGAAAGATATTTTGTGGATACTCTCCACTGGCATTAATAGATCGTAGGAAGGTTGTTGTCGGTGTAGCAGATGGTTTTATTCCGCCGGGATCCTTTATAAGGATTAAGAAGGTGAATAATGTCGTGATTATCTTGACTTTTTGTATAAATCGTGATATTGATCGAACATCCATAACATGACTTTTTAGTTCCAATAATATCGACTTGGAAGCCATGCGAACGAATGAGACGACATGCCTGTGGCTGAATACGTTACATAATTAATGTTTTTACGTCATATTTTTAGCCACAACCTTCACGTGTATAATATTCCGTTGTTTATTTTTTTTTTCAAATATCGTGTATATAAGTGATAAAATTTCTGATTGTTTTTCTCTTACATTTTTTTTATTTCATTTTTCTCACTACTAAAATCTATCCTGTCGCGAAAAAATTTTTCTTTTCTTATCGAACTAAATATTCTTCACTGCAAGAAAGGTCTCTTTC